TGAATTTTGAATTTTTGAATTCTTTAACTTCTCCTTTTTCAGTTTTTCGAGTTTTCAAGTTTAAATTTTTCAATTTTTCGTTTTGAGCTTCTCGAGTTTCCATTTTTAATTTTTCAAATTTTCGTTTCGATTTTTATTTTCGTTATTTTTTCAATTTCTCAATTTTTCAGCGTTTGAATTTTATATTTTTTTTTGTTCAATTGTAAGTTTTTATAATTTTCGATCTGTGATTTTTTTTGATTCTACAATTTTTCGATTTTCCAATTTCTCGATTTAAAATTTCTCGAGATTACAACTTTTAATTTTTCAGTTTTTCGATCTTTTGGTTTTCATTTCTTCAAACTTTCAATTTGAAATTTTTCGTTTCGGTATTTTATTTTCTGAATTTTGAATTTTTTAATTCTTCAATTTCTCTTGTCAGTTTTTCGATTTACAACTTTTCTAGTTTTCAATTTTAAATTTTTCAATTTTTTTATTTGAGCTTCTCGAGTTTCCATTTTTAATTTTTCAAATTTTCGTTTCAATTTTTTTTTCCTTATTTTTTGCAATTTCTCAGTTTTTCGGCGTTTCAATTCAATATATTTAGATCTGTGATTTTCCACTTATTTTTTTTTGTTTCTACCATTTTTAGTTTTTGCAATTTTTCGATTTAAAATTTCTCAAGGTTACACTTTTAATTTTTCAGTTTTTCGATCCTTTGGTTTTCATTTCTTCAAACTTTCAATATGAAATTTTTCGTTTCTGAATTTTGAATTTTTGAATTCTTCAATTTTTCTTTTTTTCAATTTTTCGATTTACAGCTTTTCGAATTTTCAAGTTTAAATTTTTCAATTTTTCGTTTTGAGCTTCTCGAGTTTCCATGTTTAATTTTTCAATTTTTCGTTTGGGTTTTTTATTATCGTTACTTTTTCAATTTCTCAATTTTTCAGCGTTTGAATTTTATAATTTTTTTTGTCCAATTTTAAGTTTTTATATTTTTCGATCTGTGATTTTTCAGTCTTTTTTTGTTTCTACAATTTTTCGATTTTCCAATTTCGCGATTTAAAATTTCTCGAGATTACAACTTTTAATTTTTCAGTTTTTCGATCTTTTGGTTTTCATTTCTTCAAACTTTCAATATGAAATTTTTCGTTTCGGTTTTTTATTTTCTAAATTTTGAATTTTTGATTTCTTCAATTTCTCTTTTTTACAGATTTTTGTTTCCTCAATTTTTCGATTTTCCAATTTCTCGATTTAAAATTTCTCGACATTACAACTTTTAATAGGTATTTCAGTTTTTCGATTTTTTGCTTTTCATTTCTTCAAACTTTCAATTTGAAATTTTTCGTTTCGGTTTTTTATAATCTCAATTTTGAATTTTTGAATTCTTCAAAATCTCTTTTTCTCAGTATTTCGATTTACAACTTTTCGAGTTTTCAAGTTTAAATTTCTCAATTTTTCGATTTGAGCTCCTCGAGTTTCCATTTTTAATTTTTAAAATTTTCGTTTCGGTTTATTATTTTCGTTATTTTTTCAATTTCTCAATTTTTCGGCGTTTCAATTTTATATTTTTTTTTTGTCCAATTGTAAGTTTTTATAATTTTCGATCTGTGATTTTCCACTCATTTTTTTTTGTTTCTACAATTTTTCGATTTTCCAATTTCCCGATTTAAAATTTCTCGAGATTACAACTTTTAATTTTTCAGTTTTTCGATCTTTTGGTTTTCATTTCTTCAAACTTTCAATATGAAATTTTTCGTTTCGGTTTTTATTTTCTGAATTTTGAATTTTTGAATTCTTCAATTTCCCTTTTATCAGTTTTTCGATTTAAAACTTTTCGAGTTTTCAAGTTTAAATTTTTCAGTTTTTCAATTTTTCGTTTGGGTTTTTTATGACCGTTATTTTTTCAATTTCTCAATTTTTCAGTGTTTCAATTTTATAATTTTTTGTTTTCCCAGTTTTAAATTTTTCTATCTGCGATTTTCCAGTTATTTTTTTTTTGTTTCTACAATTTTTAGATATTGCAATTTTTAGATTTAAAATTTCTCGAAATCGCAATTTTTAATATTTCAGTTTTTCCATCCTTTGGTTCTCATTTCTTCAAACTTTCAATTTGAAATTTTTCGTTTCGGTTTTTTACTTTCTGAATTTTGAATTTTTGAATTCTTCAATTTCTCTTTTTCTCAGTTTTTCGATTTACAACTTTTCGAGTTTTCAAGTTTAAATTTTTCAATTTTTCGATTTGAGCTTCTCGAGTTTCCATTTATAATTTTTCAAATTTTCGTTTCGATTTTTAATTTTCGTTATTTTTTCAATTTTTCAATTTTTCAAAGTTTCATCTTTATAATTTTTTTATTTTCATTTTAATTTTTTAATTTTTCGATATGCGATTTTCCAGTTTTTTTTTGATTCTACAATTTTTAGAGTTTGCAATTTTTGGAATTAAAATTTCTCAAGACGACAATTTTTAGTATTTCAGTTCTTCGATCTTTTGGTTTTCATTTCTTCAAACATTCAATTTGAAATTTTCCGTTCTGGTTTTTTATTTTCGCTATTTTTTTACTCAATTTTTCAGTGTTTCAAGTTTATAATTTTTTTGGTTTTCCAATTTTAATTCTTAAAATTTTTCGATCTGCGATTTTCCAGTTTTTTCTTTTTATTTCTACCATTTTTAGTTTTTGCGATTTTTCGATTTAAAATTTCTCAAGATTACAATTTTTAATCTTTCAGTTTTTTTCATTTCTTCAAACTTTCAATTTGAAATTTTTCGTTTCGGTTTTTTATTTTCTGAATCTTGAATTTTCGAATTCTTCAATTTCTCTTTTTCTCCTTCAGTTTTTCAATTTACAATTTTTCCAGTTTTAAGTTTAAATTTTTCAATTTTTCGATTTGAGCTTCTCGAGTTTCCGCTTTTAACTTTTCAATTTTTCGTTTCGATTTTTTATTTTCGTTATTTTTTTTCAATTACTCACATTTTCAGTGTTTCAATTTTATAATTTTTTGATAGTCCAGTTTTAAGTTTTTAAATTTTTCGATCTGCGATTCCAGTTATCTTTTTTTGTTTCTACAATTTTTAGTTTTTGCAATTTTTCGATTTGAAATTTCTCGAAATTACATTTTTTAATATTTCAGCTTTTCGATCATTTGGTTTTCATTTCATCAAATTTTCAATTTGCAATTTTTCGTTTCGGTTTTTTTATTTTCTTAATTTTTTCGGTTCTTCAGTGTTCGGATTTTATAATTTATCTTTCTTCAATGCGAAATTTTTCAATTTCAGATTTTTCAGTTTCCCAATTTTTCAATTTTTCCTATCTTCAATCCTTTGTTTGCTATTTTTCTAGTTTTCATTTTAAAATATATAATAATACCTAATTATAATTTTTGAAATTTTTCACTTTTTAAATTTTTATATTTTACGATTTTAGAAATTTTTCAGTTTCTCAATTTTAAAAATTTTTTCATTTATTCATTTTTTTTAACTTTTCGATGTTAAATTTTTCAGTTTTTCGATCCTTCAATGTGACAGTTTTTCTAACTTATTTAAATTTTTTTGTAATTTTTTTTGTCCGGTTTGAGTATCTTTTGTTCTGTCTTCTTAGCTGGCTTTTATTGTTCTTTTGGGTCCTTTTTTTTAACTTCCATTTTTTGCATTTTTCCGTTCTATGTATTTTGTCTCACTTTGAGTTTTTTATTGTTTTCCTTATGTTACATATTTAACCTCATTTATTTTTCTATGAGACTTTTTTATCTCATTTTTGCTTTTCTCTGCTATTCATTTTTACTCATTTTTGGCGTTTTTCATTTTATGGATTTGAAAACTTTTCCATTTATTCGATTTTCCAATTTTTCGATTCGATTCGTTTTTATTCTATGCATTATATTTTTTCGACTTTTAAATTTCTTTTTTTCCAATGTTTCGATTTTTCGTTTCTTCAGTTCTTCGATTTGCAATTTTTCGATTTTGCAATTTTTCCTTTTTTCAGTTTTTCAAAAATTTAAGATTTAAAAAGTGCAAAATCGAAATATTGAAAATTAAAGAAGTCAGCAAATCAGATCATTGAGAAATCCAAAAATTGAAAAATTTTTAAATTTTGAAACAAATCGAAAAATCAAAGATTGAAAATTTGAAGAAATAAATAAACAAAAATTATAGAACCTAAAGAAACATTGAAAAAATAAAGGAAATGAAAAACGAAAAATTTTTATTCAAAATCGAGAAAATGAAAACTAAAAAATTTGGAAAATAAAAAATTAAAATCAGGAACTTTAAAATTGAGGAAACATTGAAGTATTGAAAAAATAAAAATTTTGAAACCAAAAAATTAAAAAATGAAAAATTGCAAATTAAAACATTTAAGAAACTGAAAGAAATTGAAAAAATTAAAGTTGAAAAAACGAAAAATTATAAAAATGGAATATTAAAAAAACGGGAAACGGCAAAATTTTGAGATGACGTCATCCATTTTTGGAAAGGGATAAACGAATCAGTTTTGATTAACAATTTACTATGATTAGAATAAAGTTAAGACGTTTGCAAGATTTTAGAGCACTCAGTTGTGCAGTTTCAAAGCTAAATTTTGATTTTTTTCCAAAAATCTGGATATATGGATCATAAACCACCTGTCCAGGAATATCTTATTTTATTTATTATTGTAAATTTTGAAAGTGACGTCATACTTTTATTGGTGGGGATGATTTATCCGAATTTGGGTTAATGTTTTACCATTTACACGATATTCCTAATGCACATATGAAATTTAACAATAATCAGTCCACTAGTTTCGAAAATTATCAGTTTAACAAAAATCCCAACAAACCGCAGACAGACAGCCAAACAGACGGAAACGGAAGACCAATTTTTTCGTACTCTAGAAGTCATGAAACATAAAAAGAAAACAAAAATCGTCCAATCCTCTCGAATACAAATGTAATTATTTTCTTCGTGTTATTAGTGTTACATTGTACTTCTCCTTCAACGCATTCGATTAGATATCCAGAATCTAGAGTATCCCATGTTTCAGGAGCTCGTGTCCAGCAACACCAACCAGCGCAACTGGCGCGGCATCCTCATCGCCCTCCTCGTCATCGTGGTAGTGCTGGCCCTCATCGTGACCTCCGTGGTCCTGCTGACGCCTCCCGACGAAGGGCCCCGCGTCAAGGGCGCCCGCTTCAAGCTGCAAGACATCCTCAGCCACGACTTCCAGCCCTTGCGGTTCAACGGCACGTGGATTTCAGGTCAGTCGCAAAAATCGCCATAAAAAAGGAATCGATGACGCGGAATGACGAAGGTGCTTTTTGCAAATGCTATCGAACATGCATTATTTATGCCGCCGCTTCCGAGCGATATTCGCGAATAAATTCCCGGAGAGGTCGATGCGGATTAAACATTTCGGCCTGTTTTTGCAGAGTGATGCCGAAGCGGGGATTGAAAAGCAGTGATTAGGGTTTTGCGGAAGAGGGCGGTTTTTCAGACGGGGTCAAAAATCGACGGGGTGTCTTCTAGAAGAGATAGGGATATTTAAATTTGAGTTAGATAACGCTAGGAAAGGGATTTCGTTTTGTTGACGAAGTCTGCGACTGCTGAGTCAGTGTGCTAAGATTAATTTGAGTTCACGTTGAAGTGATGACGTTCGGTTCAACGAACGCTAGGTTTTGTAATGAATACAAATACAAATGTCAACTTCATGTACAGAGATAAAAATAAATAAATAATAAAATCGGGTAGGTACAACACACAACAATTTCCTCCGGAAATGTGTGGCCAAAGCTGAAACGAAAAAGCAGATTAGATAAGTAGGTAGTTTCGAACTTCATTTACAACTCAACGGAAAAAGGTTTAGTAAAAAATACATTTCGGTAGTTGTTTTTAATTAAAAAGGGATTTGAACCTACGCTAAAGGATTTTATGTTAGAGTTGTTATTTACATACTTTTTCCTGCAAAAAAAATCTCGGTTGAATTGGGTAAGCGTTATATGAAAAACTGTTTCCCCAACGCATAAACTTTCCACACTCATCGCATAAAAAAATGAAAGCTTATTTCTGTATCATAAATTTACCTGTTGGTTCTGAGATGAATTTCACAGATTTTTTATTTGGCTGAAACCAACCAACTTTATTTAGTTTAGAAACATTAAATGAGTCGTTTTTCAGATTACCCTTTAAATAGATCTGAACCTAGAATTTTTACTGAAAAGATTTAGGAAGTAAATTGTAAAAAAAAAATTAACTGATTTTGAAATTCATGAAAATTAAATAAATTTTGTTGTTGTTAATCATTTTTCCAGCAACCTGTACGAGCGATTCTAAATATTAAATGCCTAGTGTTGTTGATCGAAAAAAAATCGCCATGTAGGCCATGAAAATTATTTTTAAAATAATTGTGTTGCCATTCCACATAATATTTGACACTTTATTTGACAGTTAATTGACAGCCGCTGTTAAGCTGATCAAGGTGTTGGTGTTACAACATAATTTTTTTAACATTAAGTTTCAAAGCTACCTAGACGTTTTTTTTTTCTCGATAAACGAGACTACATTTCAAACGTCGTTAAACAATAACGAAACTTTTGCGAAATTTTACTTTTTTGTTGTAACCTCGAAGGAATAAAAACAGTATAGAAAGTTCTAATCACAGTGTAAGAGAAAAAAGAATGTTTCATCTTCTTAAAAAATATATAGTTGGAGGCCCCGAAGAGATTTTACTTTCTTATAAAAAAAGACAATTGGAAACCCCGAGAAGCTTTCCCCTTTAAAAAATGACAGTTGGGAAGCCCGAGAAGGTTTCACATTGTTAAAAAAAACTGTTGGGCTCCCCTAGACGGTTTCACATTCTTAAAAAACACTGGGAAGGTTTCATCTTAAACAAAAAAGACATTTGGGATCCTTGAGAAGGTTCCATATTCTTAAAAAAATAAACAGTTGAGGTACCGTAGAACGTTTCACATTCTTAAAAAAAAGATACGTGGGACCCCAGGAAGGTTTCACGTTCTTAAAAAAACAGTTGAGGTACCCCAAAAAGGTTTCACATTCTTAAAAATAGACACTTGGGACCCCGGGAAGGTTTCATATTTCTGAAAAAAACACTTGGCACCCTCGAGAAAGTTTCACATTCTTTAAAAAAACAGTTGGGGCCCCCAGAAGGTTTCATATTAAAAAAAAAAACACTTGGGACCCCGGGAAGGTTTCACCTTAAAAAAAAGACAGTTGGGATCCCCGAGAAGGTTTCACATTGGTGAAAAAACAGTTGGGTGTCCCTTAGAAGGTTTCACATTCTTAAAAAATAGACACTTGGGACTCCAGGAAGGTTCCATATTTCTAAAAAATAACACTTAGGACCTCCGAAAAGGTTTCCATTCTTAAAAAAAAAAACAAAAACAGTTGGGACCGAAGGTTTCACATTCTTAAAAATAGACACTTGGGAGCCCGGGAAGGTTTCACATTCTTAAAAAAAACAGTTGGGGCCATCAGAAGGTTTCACATTTGAAAAAAAAAACACTTGGGACCCCGGGAAGGTTTCACCTTAAAAAAAAGACAGTTGGGATCTCCGAGAAGGTTTCACATTGTTAAAAAAACAGTTGGGGGTCCCCTAGAAGATTTCACATTCTTAAAAAATAGACACTTGGTACCCCAGGAAGGTTCCATATTTCTAAAAAATAATACTTGGAAGCTCCGAGAAGGTTGCACATTCTTAAAAAAAAAAACAGTTGGGACCCCCAGAAGATTTCATATTCTTAAAAATAGATACTTGGGACCTCGGGAAGGTTTCATATTTCTAAAAAAACACTTGGGATCCCCGAGAAGATTTCACATTGTTAAAAAAACAGTTGGGGGTCCCCAAGAAGATTTCACATTCTTAATAAATACACACTTGGGACCCAAGGAAGGTTTCATATTTCTAAAAAATAATACTTGGGACCTCCGAGAAGGTTTCACATTCTTAAAAAAAGAACACTTTGGACCCCGGGAAGGTTTCACCTTAAAAAGAAGACAGTTGGAATGCCCGAGAAGGTTTCACTTTGTTAAGAAAACAGTTGGGGTGGCCTAGAAGGTTTCACATTCTTCAAAAATAAACACTTGGGACCCCGGGAAGGTTTCGCATTTTTGAAAAATCAGTTAAGGCCCCCTAAAAGGTTTCACATTCTTAAAAAATAGACACTTGGGACCGCGGGAAGGTTTCATATTTCTAAAAAATAACACTTGGGACACCGAATAAGGTTTCACATTTTTAGAAAAACAGTGTAGGCCCCCAAAAGGTTTCACATTCTTAAAACACAGTTGAGGTTTTCTAGAAGGTTTCACATTCTTAAAAAAAAGACACTTGGGACCCTGGGAAAGTTTCACATTCTTAAAAAAACAGTTGAAGTCCCCCAAAAGGTTTCACATTCTTAAAAATAGACACTTGGGACCCCGGGAAGGTTTCACATTTCTAAAAAAAAACACTTGGGACCTCCGAGAAAGTTTCACATTCTTAAAAAAACAGTTGGAGCTCCCAGAAGGTTTCAGATTCTTAAAATACACTTGGGAAGGTTTCACTTAAAAAAAAGGCAATTGGATCCTCGAGAAGGTTCCATATTCTTAAAAAATAAACAGTTGAGGTCTCCTAGAAGGTTTCACATTCTTAAAAAAAAAACAGTTGAGGTTCCCCCAAAATGTTTCACATTCTTAAAAATAGACTTGGGACCCCAGGGAGGTTTCAGTTTAAAAAAAAAAAGAGAGTTGGGACCCACGAGAAGGTTTCACAGGAAAATAAAAACTTGGGACCCCGGAAATGTTTCACCTTCAAAAAGAAGACAGTTGGGATCCCCGAGAAATAAGTTGGGACCCTGGAGAAGCTGAAAGTCCTGGGAAGGTTTCACATTAAAAAAAAGACACGTGGAGCCTCTGAGAAGGTTTCACCACATTCTTGAATAAAAAGACACTTGGGTGCCCTAGAAAATTTCATGTTCTTAACAAAGAGACGTTCGGAGCCCCTTTGAATATTTTTCATTTTTTTATAGATTGGATTTTTCCTGTTATTTTTTTACTATCCTTAGTTACCTTTCATGTTTTTCGGTCCCCTTTTTTTGCCTTTTTCTCTGTCATACATCTTAATATCGCGTCGTGTTTTTGTTATATTTTGGAAATCTTTTTTGTCCGCTTTTTGCTACTTTCTACTCTTCTTAGTCATTTTTGACGTTTTTGATCACTTCTTATCTTTTTTTGCCTTTTTTCTGTCGCGCTTTTTCTGTCGTGTCGTGTTTTTTATTACCTTTACTTCTCACATTTTTTGTCATATTTGTCATGTTTTATGACGAGTCTTTTTGTTTCCTCTTGTCTAGTCTTGCCCCTCTTTTTGCCGTTTTTGGTCCCTTTTTTGCCTCCCTTTTTTTCTTGTTGTTGTATTTTCAATGTTTTTGTTGCCTTTTTGTGACGTCGTGTTCTTTATTGTCTGTTTTTGTTACATTTTTGTAACTTTTTTTGGTGGTAAATTTCATGCCATTATTTTTAACACTTTTTTTTTTGTTCCTTTTTTGCTCTTTAATCACATTTTTTACTCCTTTTTTTAGTGCCCATTTCTGTGGATTTTTTCCTATTATTTCTTGTCATTTTTTTTCTCTATCGCAATTTTTTTAATTGTATTTTTTTATTACATTTTTTGTTTGCTCAATTTTTTTGTATTCTCTCTTCTTAGTCACCCCTTTATCGTTTTAGCCCCTTTCTTTTTCTACTCTACTTTCTTATTCTGTATGTACTCTGTAGAACTTTTTATAGTGTCGTGTTTTTTTATTATCTATTTTTTCTTAGTGATCTTTTTTTGACGTTGTTATGACCTCTTTTTTGAGAGTTTTTTTTTGTTGCGTCGCGTGTTCTTTATTGTCTTTTTTATATTGTTTTTTTGCATCAAGTACCATATAAAAATTTCGTAGACATTATCTCGTAGATTTCGACATCTAAAAGTTATTTTCGACTTCATTTAATCGAAAATTTCAAAATGACAATTTTCGAAATAAAAAAAATCAAACAGAACTCTTTGAAAATCTTAGTCCCGAACCACTAATATTTTGTATTCTTGACTTAGATCGTCAAGAACTATATCCCAGTAATTTTTGACAATTTTTGGGCATTATTTAAAAAAATTATACTTTTCAATACCCTCCCAATGAATTTTTTTCCTTTTTTCAAGCACCATACAAAATTTATGTAAGGCATTTTCTTGTAAATATCGACTTGTCAAAGTTATTTTTGGTTTCCTTTA